TGTGCACGAAGACGTGCGGCTGCTGAACGACGCCACCATGGAGAAGGACGAGTCGCACGCAGGCAAGGTGGTGCTGAGGAGCTGGTACGAGAAGAACAAGCACATCTTCCCTGCCAGCCGCTGGGAGCCCTACGACCCCGAGAAGAAGTGGGACAAGTACACGGTGAGGAGGACGCCGGTGGGGAGCCTGAGCCGGGTACGAGCCGGAGGCCACGTGCCAGCCGCCCTGCTCAACTCGGCTTCCCGCCCTTGTCCCCCCCCCCCTGCCCCCCGTTGTCCTTACTCCAGATCCGGTGATGGGTGGTCGTCTGCTGCCGCCAGCACCCCCGCCCCATGTCTTCAGGACTGCAGGCGATGGCTCCCCTCCGACCATGCAACCATGCGACCACGTCACCCCGTGGCGCTGTCACTTTTTTTTTTGCAATAAAGAAATGCACACGTTAGAGCTGGAGCACCTGCACTGTGAGAAAGTGTGTCCTGTTTAAAAGCATATTTATTGAAAAAATTTACATAACATAGAATTCATTTTGATAATTTTAAACTATACAATTCAGTGGCATTAGTACATTCACGATGTCATGCAACTATCACTGTTTTTTTTTTTTTTTTCCTTTTTGTCTCTTTTTTTGTGACCGGCAACGGATCGCAACCCTCAGTGTCACGCCCGTACTGGACCGGGACCGGCAACGGGATTGCAACCCTCGGTGTTGCCCCCGCACCTCGCTCAGCCAGTGAGCGGCCGGTCTGTATGTGGGATCCGAACCCTCGGTGGGAGCGCCAGCTCACCTGTCCTACCTTGGCCAACCCTGCTCAGACTGCCCAGGGGCTGGCTGGCCACTGTCACAGCCCCAAGGCAGGATCCAGCTTGGGGGGTGGGTATCGGGCCCCACACCAACACCTCAGCATCCAGCTCCTCTAGTTCCCCTTGGGTAAGTTGAGGCAGGAAAGCCTGCCTCCAGGAGGCTGAGAAAGGAGCTGACAGGACCCTGTTTCTGCCCTTTCTCCCCTTGCCCAAGGTCAAGAAGAGGGGACAGGGACAGCCCCTCACTGGCTGATGTGGAGCGCCACAGCTCGGGGTCTGGCCCCACCTCCCTGGCAAATGTGCAGCTCTGAAGGTGGTGGGTGGTGGCAGAGACCCTGTGTCCCATTCAACCGTGGCCTGGGGAGGCCTGGCTGGCACCTCGGCGCTCTCAGTTGGGCTTCCAGGTCCGTGTCTGGGATGGGGCCATCTGGGGGTCACTCGGAGGGGAGAAGGGTAGAGCAGGCCTCAGGGCACAGCAGGGAGGAGGTGGCCAGGCCTCGCCCTGTGTCCTGGACATGGGAGACAAGTCCGAGGACCTCAATGGGGCCTTTTGTTGGGCTCCCAGGAACTCTGGAGGGGATTGTCTGGTCGTCCAGCCAACCCCTTTCTGTCCTTTGAGAAGCCACCAGAAGAGCAGGCCTCCCAAGGAAACAGCGCCTCTCAGCCAGCTCACCTGATGGCAGATGGTTTCTGGGGGAGCTGCCTCAGCCCTGGCAGGGGAGAACCCAGTTTCTGGAAAGAGTCATAATTTCCTGGGAAGACAGGCCAGGGGGCGGGGGTGAGAGACATTTGGGGTCAAAACGAAGGGGCAGGGTGACTATCAGGAAAGGAGACCCATGTCCTTGTGGCCAGGGAAGGGACAGAAAAGGCTGTGCTGTGATGGGGGGCTAGGAAGGAGCCCCTTGCTAAGGACAGGGCTGAGGTGGCAGCTGGGACGGTGGAGCTGGACGAGCAGGGTGACAAGCTTCTTTCAGGTCTCCCATTTGGCCGCTGGGACTGGGCTGTCCTGGCCACCGGCCTCACTCCTAGAGGCGGTGCTGGCCTGAATTCCCACCGAGGAGGGACAACTGTCTAGGTGGGGTCAGGCTTGGAGTCCCTTGGGACTTTTGCCTCATTGTGTATGTGGGGTTGAGAGGAGAGCTTGGGAGGCCGCAGAGGGAAGTTGAGCTGTCAAGGCAGTTGCTAGTTGATGCTCTGGAACTAGACGAGGTCGCCGAGGACCAGCGTGTGCTGGGCTAAGGACCAAAGACACAAGGACAGCCGGACCTCCTCACCCAGGCTTTATTCCTGGGGTCTGTGTGTGCAGAAAACAAAGAGGGAAACAAAAAATGAACCAGCGACGTGAGGAGGCCTTTCTGGCATGGGGGCATTTAAGCTGACAAATAAATGACAAGAAGTCAGCCATGGCAACGCAGGCAGGGGGCGGTCCAGGCAGAGGGCAGAGCAAGTGCGAGGACACTGGGGCGGCGCAGCGGAGGGACGTCCCCCTTGTCCCGGCGCGACTCAGCGGAGGCGCACGCGATGCTCCCACCAGCCATGCACGTCCCTTCCCCTCCCGCTTATCCGTGCCCGCAGCCAGCACACGAGCCCCTCCGAGCAGACCAGACGTTCTGCCTCGTTCTGCCTCGAAGCGTCTGGCACAGCCCAGCGATCCCGCACCTCGTGCCGGCGCATCGCTCAGCCGCGTGGCCCAGTGACCTCCACGGCCCCCATCCTCGCGCCTTCAGAGCCTCCGCCCGCTGCACAGCGAGATCCAGAAAGTCCCCCCAACGCCAGGGCCTTGTCCCGACTGGCAGCCCCGGCCGCGGTGTGACAGTGTGACGGGCCGGCTCCGCTGAGCCTCGCCCGCAGGGTGTCGCGGCTCCCCACCCGGACTCATGGGCTAAGCTGAGATGGGGGATGATGGTTCCTCAGTGTGCGCTTTAATTTTTAATTTTAAAATTTATCTTTTTAATTTCTTCAAGACGAAAAAGTCGCATAGCATCAATGAGCCAGTAACCATTTAAAATGTGCAATCCAGTGGCAGTTCGTACATTCACAACGTGGTGCATCCACCACCTCCATCTACTCCCAGAACACTTCCATCACCCCAAAAGGAAACCCCCCTCTCCCAGTCCCTGGCAGCCACTAATCTACTCTCTCTATGGATCTGCCTCTTCTAGAAGTTTCCCATAAATGGAATCATATAATACGTGCCCTTTTGTGTGTGGCTTCTTTCATTTAGCGTAACAGTCTTCGAGGTTCATCAATACTGTAGCATGAATCTGAATTTTATTCCTTTCTCTAACTGAATAATGTTGCATTGTGTGGCTGGGCCACGTTTTGTTCATCCACTCAACTGCAGATGGACATTCTGGGTGTTTCCACCATTCGGCTGTAGTAAATAATGCTGCCATGAATATCCGTGTACAAGTTTTTGTTGGATGTCAGTGTGGTTTGCATTTGTATTTCTCTTTCCCATGTTTAAAAATCACATGCATTTCTCCTGCAAACTGTCTATTCCTGTCACTTGCCCATTAATTGTATTGTTGGTCTTTTAAATCTGGAATTCCAGGTACCTCCCATACATGAGGGGGAGTGGCCCCTGGTGCTATATAGCACCAATATTTTTCCCAGTTTTTCATTCTTCCTGGGGTGTTTCTTGCCATGAAAAGTTTCTTTTATTTTTAGGTATATTGGACTTTTTTTTAAAGATGACCGGTAAGGGGATCTTAACCCTTGACTTGGTGTTGTCAGCACCACGCTCACCCAGTGAGCTAAGCGGCCATCCCTGTATGGGATCCAAACCTTTGGCCTTGGTGTTATCAGCACCACACTCTCCCGAGTGAGCCATGGGCTGGTCCCTACATCTCTCTTTTAAAAATACAAAAAAGATACAAAAGTAAAAGATAGCAAACCAAATGTAATCTTTCCTGACCCCATATTCTCCTAGTTATAGTTTTCTGCTGCTCTTCTCAATAAAATTTCTCAAATAACTGTCTCCACTTTTTTCTTGGACTTTTCAGTCTTTTATGGTTTCAGGGTTTTAGGTCCCGGTTAGGAAGGTCTTCTGCAATTCGGTGTTACAAAGGAAGCACCTGGGGAGTTTTAACAGGAGTGAGACACAAGCTTGAGTAAGTTTTCAGGTCACTCCAGGAGCAGCGTGGAGAAAGGATTGGTGGAGGACATGGCAGGAGGCCAGAGAGGAGGCCACCGCTGTCATCCTGAGGGGAGAGGCTGATGGCTTGCACCAGAGTGGAAGGAGAAGGTCAGCTTCTGGGTAGATTTTGACGAGACGGCCAATAGGACTTGCTGATGGACAGGATGTGGTGTTTCGAATATTTTCTTATAAGCAACAGAAACTAATACTGCCCCCCCCCAAAGAATCTTTACTAATATGGGGCACACGGGAAGGAAAGCAAGTTTAGGGTGAACAAGTGTTTGCGGACATGTTATGTCAAGATCCCTATTAGAGAGTGAGGTGGGGCTGCCAGACAAAGACTTGGACTTACGAAGCTGGACTTCACAGGAGAGCTTGGGAGGCTGGAGAGAGAAAGTGCAGAGCCGTCAAGACAGACTTTATTGGATGCCTCTGGAACTAGAAGAGCTCACCGAAAGAATCAAAGAGTAACACCCAGGCTTCTGGTTTGAGCTGGGCAGATGGGACTCGGAAGCAGGGCTGTGACAGGGTAGGCAGCAGGATTTTGACCCCGATTCTGAGGTACTTATGCAATAGTTACATGAGGATGCTGAGTAGTCACATGCTCTATGAATAGAAATTCTGCTCCTATGTAATTACCCAAGAATAACTCCTGCACATTTGTTATAACTCTCTGCAAAGGGGTCCCCTTGGGTTTTGGGTTGAATACTAAGCTGCATACACACAGGGTGAAACTCCAGGAATTGGTCAATGAAAATCCAGAAGTGTTGCAACTGAGTAATGCAGCTAAGACTAGCCCTACAGTAAAGGCCTCTCTAGACCTGCCTTAACAAAGCTTAAAAACAGGCCTTGAGAGGATCAAGCTGATCCACAAGTACATTAAGTGCCTGCCAAAGTCCAACCCTCTTTTAAGGAAGACAACAAAATCTAGACACTCCACAACACAATAGTCATAATGTCCAGCATGCGATAAAAAATCACCACACATGCAAAGAAGCAGGAACATGCGATCCTTAACCAGGAGAAAAATCAGTCAATAGAAACAGAAAGCGTTTCAAAATACAAAATTGGAGAGAAAGCAACCACTTCTATCCGACATTGGACTGGGGGGTCTAGCCAGGGCAATTAGGCAACAAAATGAAATAAAAGACGTCCCGATTGGAAAGGAAGAAGGAAAACTATCTCTACTCTCAGATGATATGATCTTGTATATAGAAAATCCTAAGGAACTCTCTAAAAAACTGTTATAGCAAATTAGCAAGTTCAGCAAGGTTGCAGGATAAAAGATCATTATACAACTGTATAATTATATCAATTCTATTTTTATACACTAGCAATGAACAATCTGAAATGAAGATAAGAAAACAATTCTTTTAAATTTCTTTTTTTGGCGGCTGGCCAGTACAAGAAAACAATTTAATTTACAAGAGCGTGAAAAAGAATAAAATACTTAAGAATCAATTTAACAAAAGAAGTGTAAGATTTGTACACTGAAAACTACAAAACATCATTAAAGAAATTAAAGAAGATCTAAATAAATGGAAAGACATCTATATTAGTCATGGTTCTCCAGAAAAACAGAACCAACAGGACACATGCGCCGGCGTGCACACACACACACACACACACACAACTTATTTTAAGGATTTAGTTCATGCAATTGTCAGGGCTGGCAAGTTGGCAAGTATGAATTTATAGGGCAGGCCAGTAGGCTGGAAACTCAGGCGGGCTTTCTGTGTTACAATCTTGAAGCAGAATTTCTACTTTTCTGGGAATCCTGTTTTTGCTCTTATGGCCTTCAACTGAGTGGATGAGGCTCACACCCATTTTTAAGGGTGATCTCCTTTATTACAGTCAACTGATTGTAGATGTTGACCACAGCTACAAAATACCTTCACAGCAATACCTAGATGAGTCTTTAATTAAATGTCTGGGAACTGTAGCCTGGCCAAGGCGACACATACAATTAACCGTCATAACATACTGTGGTCATGGATCGGAAGACTTAATTTTGTTAAGAAAGATGGCAGTCCTCCCCAAATTGATCTACAGATTCAGTTCAATCCCTATCAAAATCTCAGCTGGATTTTTTTGCAGAAATTGACAGGTTTATCCTAAAATTCATATGGAAATGCAAGGGACCCTGAATACTCAAAACGATCCTGAACAAATGTGAAGGGCTCATAATTCCCAGTTGCAAAACTTACGACAAAGCTACACTGATCAAGACAGTGATGCACAGGAATAAGGATAGACATAGAGGTCAATGAAACAGAACTGAGAGTCCAGAAATAAACCCAGACATCTATTGTCAATTGGTTTTTTATAAGGGTGCCAAGACCATTCAACGAGGAAAGAATAGTTTCTTCAACAAATGGTGCTGGGACAACCAGATATCCACATGCAAAAGAGTGGAGTTGGACCGCAATCTCATATCATATACCAAAATGGATCAGAGGCCTAAATTTAAGAGCTAAAATTATAAAACTTTCAGATGAAAACAGGTATAAATCTTTGTGACCTTGGATCAAGCAATGATTTTTTACATATGACAATGAAAGTACAAACAACAAAAGATAAATTAGAAGTCATCAGAATTTAAAAGTTTTGGGGCCGGCCCGGTGGCGCACTGCTACAGTGCGCCGCTTGGGAAGCGCGGTGGCGCTCCCGCCGAGGGTTCAGATCCCACATACAGACCGGTTCCCGCTCACTGGCTGAGCGAGGTGTGGGAGCAACACCGAGGGTTGCGATCCCGTTGCCGGTCCTGGTCCGGTACGGGCACGACACTGAGGGTTGCGATCCGTTGCCGGTCACGAAAAAAGACAAAAAAAGGAAAAAAAAAAAAGAATTTAAAAGTTTTGGGGCCGGCCCGGTGGCGCACTGCTACAGTGCGCCGCTTGGGAAGCGCGGTGGCGCTCCCGCCGAGGGTTCAGATCCCACATACAGACCGGTTCCCGCTCACTGGCTGAGCGAGGTGTGGGAGCAACACCGAGGGTTGCGATCCCGTTGCCGGTCCTGGTCCGGTACGGGCACGACACTGAGGGTTGCGATCCGTTGCCGGTCACGAAAAAAGACAAAAAAAGGAAAAAAAAAAAAGAATTTAAAAGTTTTGGGGCCGGCCCGGTGGCGCACTGCTACAGTGCGCCGCTTGGGAAGCGCGGTGGCGCTCCCGCCGAGGGTTCAGATCCCACATACAGACCGGTTCCCGCTCACTGGCTGAGCGAGGTGTGGGAGCAACACCGAGGGTTGCGATCCCGTTGCCGGTCCTGGTCCGGTACGGGCACGACACTGAGGGTTGCGATCCGTTGCCGGTCACGAAAAAAGACAAAAAAAGGAAAAAAAAAAAAGAATTTAAAAGTTTTGTACATCAATGAATACTGTCAAGAAGGTGAAAAGAGAATCGACAGAATGAGAGAAAATATTTACAAATATGTGTATGATAAAGGATTAATATCCAGAATCTATAAAGAACTCCTACATCTCATCAACAACAAAACAAAAAATTTGATTAAAAAATGGCCAATGGACTTGAATAGACATTTCTCCAAAGAGGATATAGAAATGGTCAACAAGCACATGTCATCAGGGAAATCAAAATTGAAACCACCATGAGATACCCCTTCTCACCAACTAGGATGGCCATAATAATAATAATAATGGTGATAATAATAATAATAAAAGCCACCCAGACAATAAGTGTTGGAAAGGATGAGGAGAAACTGGAACCCTCCTACAGTGCTGGTGGGAATGCAAAATAGTACAGCTACTTTGGAAAACAGTTCGGCCATTTTTCAAAATGCCAAAACTGACCCAGCAATTCCACTCCTAGGTCTATACCCAAGAGAAAGGAAAGTATGTGTTCACACAGAAACTTGTGCATAAATGTTCCTAGCAGCATAATTCACAATAGCCAAAAGGTGGAAACAACCCAAATGTGCACAAATTGATGAATGAACAAAGAAAATGTAGTATATCCATGCAATGGAATATTATTTGGCTCTAAAAAGAAATGAAATCTGGATACATGCTACAACATGGATGAACCTTGAAAACATTATGCTCAGTGAAAGAAGCCAGTCACAAAAGACAAATACAAGTTGTACGATTGCATCTATATCCGATGTCCAGAACAGGCAAATCCGGAGTCAGAAAGTGAGCGGAGTGGGTCCCAGGGACTGAGGGGATGGAGAGTGACGGCTGACAGGTACGGGGTGTTTTTTGGGGGGGTGATGAAAATGTTCTACAACTAGACACTGGTGATGATGGTTGCACAACTCAATATACAAAAAACCATTGAAGGGGCCGGCCTGTGGGGCTCACTCGGGAGAGTGTGGTGCTGATAACACCAAGGCCACGGGTTCGGATCCCATATAGGGATGGCCGGTTCGCTCACTTGGGAGAGTGTGGTGCTGACAATACCAAGTCAAGGGTTAGGATCCCCTGGCCGGTCATCTTAAAAAAAATAAATAAATAAAAATAAAGAAAGAAAGAAAAAGAAAAGGAAAGAGAAAGCAAGGGAAGGAAAAGCCCGGATTCGGGGTGGTGGTGGCCGGCGGGGAAGAGGCCCGAGGCGCAAGCCCGTCAGCCTCGAGTCCTCGTGCTGGGCACTCGCCCATCTCCCGGCTGTCTGCTGGCCGGGCTGTGGCACAGGGGCTGGGTGTGCCTGTGATGCAGACGTTGCCACTTACGAGCGGGGGCGGGGGTGGGGTCTTGGGCTGCAAATCCTGCCTCTCCGGGTCTCCCTCCCGACCTTGCCCTGGCCTTTTCCTAGGCTTGTCTCTCCGCGCGGCAGGGAAGAGGTGAGGCAGGGTGCGGCCTCCCTTCTGCGTGGCTTCCATTCTTCTCGGCTGTTGCATTAGGGGTCTAGGATGCAGACCTGACAAAAGAGCCCCGGAGAGATGATCAGTCTGAGCTGAAACTTTGCAGTTTCGAGCTGGGCCTGCTCCTTGTTCTAGCAAATGCATGTTTTCCTTTCTCTCTTCTGTGCCTCCTTGGTTTGGTTCCCCACACCACCCCCCCTCAAGCTGGGTACCTCCTGTCTCCCTTGGGGCTTGGGCAATGAGGGTAGCCTGAGCCTGCCCCTCTGGCTGCCACGACACTGCTTTGCTATCTTGCAGCCTGGGGCTGGCTGGGTGTGGCCTGGATAGTGCCAATCCTGACACTATCCCTATGCCCCCGCCCCATGTCCCCAAGGCTGCAAGTGTATTTGGGGATGTTGCTCCCCTTCCATAAGGCTCCTGAGATGCTCAAGGGGCGAGGGTTCCTCCCCTTCCCCAGCTAACCTCTGGATCTGGAGGGAGAGCCGTGCAGGGCTGCCTGGGCATCTGTCTGGCTGTGCATGAGCAGAGCTTGACTTATGTCTCTCGACGCGTGGCTGTGGGGGCAGGCGCAACTCGGCTTTGTGTTTGCAGCAGGGAGGCCAGACAGCAGGCTCCTGGACAGCCAGAGGAGGCCCTCGGGGCGAGGAGGCAGCTGGGGCCAGGAGTTGGGGATGTAGCTGCTCTGGGTCCAGCCTCAGGCCTTGATTCCCCAGACCTCTGTCCCAGGGCTCCTGGTGGCAGTGCCCCTCTGGGGTGGGGTTCACGCCTCCCGCCCCTGTCCCTCGGCTTGTGATTGTTTTCTCCCTGACTTTTCCTTCCCCCAGCTCAGACCCGGGGCATCTCTGTGGCCTGGGGCTTCCCTGGGGCTGTCCTTCTGTGTGGCTGGCTGCCCTCAGCTCCGGGATGTAGTGTTCGGGGTCTCAGTTCCAGTAGGGCCCCCACCCCGCCTTTCCAAGCATCTGGCTCTGGCTGCCCCCTTGGGTGTGGCCCAGCTGAGGCGAGGCCTTCTGGCTCCTTTCCAGAGCGGGGGTGGGGGATGATTGATGGCCCCCAAGCCTGCCTGCGCTTGCTGCTCACTCATGCGCCCTGGTGGAGGCCCCTCCTCTGTCCCAGCCATGGTGACCATCTGGGGCTCCGGCGTGCTGGTGGGTGAGTGGCCCTGGGCCTCTGACTCCTACTTGCCATCTCTCCACAGGCCCGTCCCCGGGTGCAGCTTAGAGCCATGCCCGCTGTCTGCCTCCTCCCACTGCTCTTCCTTGCCGTCGGGGGGGCCCTGGGCAGCAGCAGGCCCTTCCGTGCCTTTGTGGTGACAGACACCACGCTCACCCACCTGGCCGTGCACCGAGTGACTGGGGAGGTGTTTGTGGGTGCAGTAAACCGAGTCTTCAAGCTGGCCCCCAACCTGACCGAGCTGCGGGCCCACGTCACGGGGCCCGTGGAAGACAACGCTCGCTGCTACCCACCTCCCAGCATGCGCGTGTGTGCCCACCGCCTGGCACCTGCGGACAACGTGAACAAGCTGCTGCTCATAGACTATGCGGCCCGCCGCCTGGTGGCCTGTGGCAGCATCTGGCAGGGCATCTGCCAGTTCTTGCGCCTGGATGACCTCTTCAAGCTGGGAGAGCCCCACCACCGCAAGGAGCACTACCTGTCGGGGGCCCAGGAGCCCGACTCCATGGCTGGCGTCATCGTGGAGCAGGGCCAAGGGCCCAGTAAGCTGTTCGTGGGCACCGCTGTTGACGGCAAGTCAGAGTACTTCCCCACCCTGAGCTCCCGCAAGCTCGTCGGCGACGAGGACAGTGCGGACATGTTCAGTCTGGTGGGTTCGCCTGCTCGGCCCTCCTCTCCTGTCAACCCTCTCATGAGCCTGGCCCCTTTCCCTGCCTCCTTCATGCAGTCCTGGCTATGCCTCTTGGAAGAGCCCTGTTCTGAGAGGGGAAGCTTCGGCCCCTCGCTGTCCGAGATGCAGACAGGCTGTTGAGGGTGGGAGGACAGGCTGAGCCCAGCTGCGGGGCCCTGTCTGCAGTGGGGCTGCTCCGTCTGCCCTCTGCTGCCTTTTTGGCCGGGGTGCCTGTGATCGATTGTCCAGTGGGGCAGGTGAGGGATCATAAGGGAAGCCCTTGGGGCACCATGCTGCTGGAGCAGGGCGGGGGGACAGTGCGTGGCGAAGGGGGGCGGGCCCAGGGCCTCAGCCCATGCTCTCCCCTCCACCTACTCCCCAGGTGTACCAGGACGAGTTTGTCTCCTCTCAAATCAAGATCCCCTCAGACACACTGTCCTTGTACCCCGCCTTTGACATCTACTACATCTATGGCTTTGTGAGCGCCTCCTTTGTGTACTTCCTGACGCTGCAGCTGGACACCCAGCAGACGCTGCTGGACACGGCGGGCGAGAAGTTCTTCACGTCGAAGATCGTGCGCATGTGCACGGGGGACTCGGAGTTCTACTCGTACGTGGAGTTCCCCATCGGCTGCTCCTGGCGCGGCGTGGAATACCGCTTGGTGCAGAGCGCCCACCTGGCCAAGCCCGGCCCGCTGCTGGCCCAGGCCCTGGGTGTGCCGGCCGACGAGGACGTCCTCTTCACCATCTTCTCCCAGGGCCAGAAGAACCGGGCCAGCCCCCCTCGGCAGACCATCCTCTGCCTCTTTACCCTCAGCAACATCAACGCCCACATCCGGCGCCGCATCCAGTCCTGCTACCGTGGGGAGGGCACGCTGGCCCTGCCCTGGCTGCTGAACAAGGAGCTTCCCTGCATCAACACCGTGAGCTCGTCGCTCGCCCCTTGCTGTCCCCAGGCCTGGCTTGGTAGCTTCCCTGGCCCTCTGCCCCTTCCCAGGTCTGCGGTGCCTGGCCTTGCAGCCAGTGGGCTGGCCTTCCTGTCCCGGGCTTGGCATGGCCCTGGGAGTGCCACCTTAGCTCTGACACCCATTGCTCCCTTTTGGAGATCCCCCACCCTCTTCCTCTTTCTGTCCTTCCTCCCTTCTTACTGTCTCTCCTTTGCCCGGCACCCTGCTTGCAGACTGCCGCCTTCCTCTTCCTGCCCCCCCATCCATGCCCAGCCTGTTCCTTCTTGCCGTGTCTCATGAGTGTCCCTTGCTGTCTTGAGTCAGCAACAATCTCCCAGGCCATCCCCATCTCACCGGCCCACACTTTGCGCCTCCCTCCCTGCTCTCCCTCTGCAGCCCTCAGTTTCTCGTGGGGTCCCAGGACAAGCAGTCAGGCCTGGCTGGAGGGGGAGCAGGTTGAACGTGGGATCTGATGGCCTCTGTGCAGCTGGCGTGTGTGTGGCGGCTGAGGGCTCTGACTCTCATGTACTGCTCCTGTCTCACCAGCCCATGCAGATCAACGGGAACTTCTGTGGGCTGGTGTTGAACCAGCCACTGGGCGGCCTGCACGTGATCGAGGGGCTACCCCTGCTGGCCGACAGCACCGATGGCATGGCCAGCGTGGCCGCCTACACCTACCACCAGCATTCTGTGGTGTTCATTGGCACGCGCAGCGGCAGTCTGAAGAAGGTGGGCCCTGGAACCCTTGGCATGTAGGGATGGGGCAGTCTCTGAGATGTGGGCCAAGGGTGCGAGTGCGAATGTACACATGAGCCTGGGAGACCTCGGACAGGGCATGGCTGGTGGGAAGGGAGACTTCCCAAGCTGGGCCCCTCAGCCACCCACCCTTGCCAGCACCAGGTTCCTGTGGCTCTAGGGACGGAGACCAGACCTGTTGTGGGGCCTCCATGCCACGAGAGCAGGGACCAGGGCCAAGCCGTCCCTGCTAGGTCCTCAGTTGAATAAATGAGGGAGCAAATGTGGACATATCCCTGTGTGCTCTGACCCCGGGACATGCCTTGTCTGCAGTCACCTGGCCCCCTGAACCTGGAGGTGGCTTGGCATGGAGGGGGGAGGAACTGCGAGCTCAGGTACATCCTGAAGGGACAGGTGTCAGGGTGATAGCAGCACTCTCACCCTGCTTGCCTGGTAGGTGTGCTTGCTCTCCCCGGGCGGGGGAAGAGCTGGTCTGGGGGTGGCCTGGGGAGGCTTTGTGAAGGGACACGTGGAGCTCGCAGGGCCCAGCCTTCTGTGCTGCCGGGACCCTTTTTCCATTTGTAACAGCTTTATGGAGCTGTAACTCACATACATACGACTTGCCCATTTATAACACACAGTCCAGTGGTTTTTAGTGTACTTGCATTGTTGCACAACCGTTGCCACTACCTCATTCCAGGACATTTTTTTCACTCTACAAAGCCCCATACTCTTTAGCTGTCACCTCTGGCCCTCCATCCCCTGACCTTAGGCAACACTAATCTCTCCGTCTCTGCATCTCCTGAGAGCATTTTCCGGCTGACTCCAGGGGCTGGCCTTGGCACCCTTCTTCCCCTGGCTGCGGGGGCTGCAGGCAGCCAGGCTGAGTGCTGAGCCCCGCCAGCTCAAGAGGATGCCCTGGGTGCAGGGGCTGCGGTGGCGTCAGGCTGGCCAGTCAGCCCTCTGCCCTGGTCTTGTGGCTCAGGTGCGGGTGGATGGCTCCCAGGACGCCCACCTGTATGAGACGGTCCCTGTGGTGGACGGGAGCCCCATTCTCCGAGACTTGCTCTTCAGCCCCGACTACCTGCACATCTACCTCCTGAGTGAGAAGCAGGTGGGCCCGCGGTGGGTGGTGGTGGGTGGTGGGGCGGGGATGGGCTGGGTGCTGACGTGGGTATCCCCAGGTGAGCCTGCTCCCGGTGGAGACCTGCGAGCAGTACCTGACCTGCACTGCCTGCCTAGGCTCGGGGGACCCACACTGTGGTTGGTGCGTGCTGCAGCACAGGTGAGGGCGGCCAGTGCCAGATGAGGGGGTGACGGCGGGCTTGGGAGTTAGAGGGACCCAGGAGGGCCCTGCCACCAGCCGGGAGGGGCCAGCCACACCTGCAGTGCCTGCCTTCATCCTCCTGCCCAATTCTCCCCAGCTGTGCCCTTGCAGCCTCCCCTCCCTCGCTCCTTCCTCCACTTTCTGCAGCTAATGAGTGGAACTTCCACCCCAAGTGACATCCCTTGGGCCCCAGGGGACAAGGCCAAGGCACGCTGTTGCCTGGCACTGTGAGCTGGACAGGCTGTCCCTGTACCCCACAGCCTCCCGCTGCATGCCCTGCCTGGGCCCTCCTGGGGCAGTGGCAAGACTGGCTCTGGCCTCACCCCATCCAGGTGCTGCCGTGAAGGGGCCTGTCCAGGTGCCTCTGCCCCACATGGCTTTGCAGAGGAGCTAAGCAAGTGCGTCCAGGTGCGGGTCCGGCCCAACAATGTGTCAGTGACATCGCCTGGGGTGCAGGTGAGTGGCATGGACGGTGCTCGGCCCGCGAGTGCATGTGTTGGGGGGTGCGCCCTGCTCTGAGCCCTCTGCCTCCCCCAGCTGACTGTAGCCATGCGCAACGTGCCAGACCTCAGCGCGGGTGTGAGCTGTGCCTTTGAGGAGGTGACAGAGAGCAAGGCCATCCTGCTCCCCTCTGGCGAGCTGCGCTGCCCCTCGCCCTCCCTCCAGGAGCTCCAGGCTCTCACCAGGGGGCACGGTCAGTGGGCTGGGGCTGTCTGGGTGTGGTGGGGGCCGCTCTTTCTCCCCGGCTAGTTCATGGCCACCCGGGGCTTGCTGCAGGGGCCACCCGCACTGTGCGGCTGCAGCTGCTGTCCAAGGAGACGGGCGTGAGGTTTGCTGGGGCTGACTTTGTCTTCTACAACTGCAGCGTCCTCCAGTCGTGAGTACCTGGCCTAGCCCCTGGGGACAGAAAGGGGTTCTGGAACAGGTGACGCCTGCAGGGTGGTTGTCACTGGGGACCTCAGGGGCTGTCAGGCCTTCCTGACCTCTGTCCCCATGCTTCTTAGGCCCCTGCCACTGTACAGGCCTTGGCTGCGTTCTTCCTTTGTTTGCCAGTGTGTCCTGCGAGAGGGGCAGTGAGGGGCCGTCTGGCCTTCTCTGCTATTCCTGAAGCCACTCTCCCCTGCCAGGTGCATGTCCTGTGTCGGCAGCCCTTACCCCTGCCACTGGTGTAAGTACCGCCACGTGTGTACCAGCCACCCGCATGAGTGCTCCTTCCAGGAGGGCAGGGTCCACAGCCCTGAGGTGAGGCGGGCGCCGCGTGTGGGGTGCTGGGCTTCGCGTGGGCTGGCCTCTGGCTTTTCTGACTTTGATCTCCCTGAGTTCTTTGAGCCTCCCCCAGGCAGCGCAGGGCTGGCTGGGCCTGGAGAAGGGTGACCGCCCAGTGTGCACTGACGGGTCTTCTCCCCGCAGGGCTGTCCTGAGATCCTGCCCAGCGGGGACCTCCTGATCCCTGTCGGCGTCATGCAACCTCTTACCCTGCGGGCGAAGAACCTGCCGCAGCCCCAGTCGGGCCAGAAGAACTACGAGTGCGTGGTCCGGGTGCAGGGGCGGCAGCAGCGGGTGCCAGCCGTGCGTTTTAACAGCAGCAGCGTGCAATGCCAGAACGCCTCGGTGAGGCCCGCCCCGCAGCCTCCTGCCTGGGGGTCCAGGCTGTAGCAGACAGGGGTAGTTCCTGTGTACGCCCAGCTTCTGAGAATCCTGCTGGGGATTCCTGACCTGGGACGGGGGAGGGACAGTTAGCTAGAATGTGGGGGTGTGGTCTGCACATCTTACCGGGGGTCATGTGGGTCCCTTTCCCCCAGTACTCCTATGAAGGCGATGAGTATGGTGACACTGAGCTGGACTTCTCTGTGGTCTGGGATGGAGACTTCCCCATCGACAAGCCTCCCAGCTTCAGAGGTGAGGGGTGGCACAGAACCGAGGAGCCAGCCTCCTAGGGTAGAGTCAGCTCTGCTGGAGCCCGATCTGGGGGCCCTAGTGCTCCCCCCTTCTCTGTCGCTGGTCCCCCATCAGCCGTGCTCCCTGTGCCCGCAGCCCTCCTTTACAAGTGCTGGGCCCAGCGGCCCAGCTGCGGCCTCTGCCTCAAGGCTGACCCCCGCTTCAACTGTGGCTGGTGCATCTCGGAGCACAGGTGCCAGCTGCGGGCCCACTGCCCGGCCCCCAAGACCAACTGGATGCACCCGAGCCAGAGGGGTGCCCGGTGCAGCCACCCCCGCATCGCCCAGGTCAGCCTCCCCCACCACCCTGCCCGTTCCTGCTGGGCACCTGTGAGCGAGGGCTGACCCAATCGCCTCCCATCCTGCTCTGCAGATCCACCCGCTCATGGGGCCCAAGGAGGGAGGTACTCGGGTCACCATCGTGGGCGAGAACCTGGGCCTCGCCTCCCGGGAGGTGGGCCTACGGGTGGCCGGTGTGCGGTGCAACTCCATCCCTGCCGAGTACGTCAGTGCCGAGAGGTGAGTGTGGGCGGGTGGTGCCTGGGCCCCTGTGCACCCGGGCCGGCCCTGACCTTCTCTGAGCCCTAGGATCGTGTGTGAGATGGAAGAGTCGCTGGTGCCCAGCCCACCGCCGGGGCCCGCGGAGCTGTGTGTGAGCGACTGCTCCGCTGACTTCCGCACGCAGTCGGAGCAGCTCTACAGCTTTGTGGTGCGTGGCCGCCCCGTCCTGTCCCTGCCCTGCCCCGCCTCTTCTCCGCCCCCACCCGAGGTGGCCGGGCTGGCTCCTCCCACCCCTCAGGCTGCTTCTCCCACAGACCCCGACGTTTGACCGAGTGAGTCCCGGCCGGGGCCCGGCGTCAGGGGGCACGCGGCTCACCATCTCTGGCAGCTTTCTGGATGCTGGCAGCAGGGTCATGGTGACCGTGAGAGATGGCGAGTGCCAGTTTGTGAGGTGGGCCAGGACCCCGCCGCCTTGGGCTGAGCATTGGGTGGGGGACCATGGGGCAGGGTGGCTGAGGGCCCTGGGCCGCCTGTTTCAAGCGCCCGGCTTGCCAACGTAGGAGAGATGCTGAGGCGATCGTGTGTATCTCGCCTGTCTCCACCCTGGGCCCCAGCCAGGCCCCCATCACCCTTGCCATCGACCGAGCCAACATCTCCAGCCCTGGAGTCATCTACACATACACTCAGGATCCCACTGTCACTCACCTCGAGCCCACCTGGAGCATCATTAAGTAAGAGCCTGGGGAGAATGGGAAGTCTGGCCAGTGTCGATGGGGTTGGGGACTGGGCTGGGTTCCTGAGCTTCTCTCCTGGGGCCTTGCCTGGTGACTGAGGCCTTGGGCATCAAGTCCGACCTCCTTTGAGCCTGAGCCCTTGTAGGTAGAGGGGCAGAGTTGTCCTGACCGCATAGTACCTGGCACCCACTGGGCGATCCAGGGTCAGGGAGGCCCTGGGCTCCCATGGCACCCTTGATAACTTCCCAGGGAAGGGTAGGGAGTACTGGGGTAGGGAGCCTGAGGTCCCTGTCCCCTGTCCCCAGTGGAAGCACTGCCATAACTGTGAGTGGGACCCACCTTCTGACAGTCCAGGAGCCCCGGGTCCGGGCCAAGTACCGTGGCATCGAGACCACCAATGTAAGTGACAGCCACACCCAGCCTGCCCCTGTCCCTGCTGCCCTTGGCCTCATGCACGGGGCTACTCACATTTGTCCCAACAGACTTGCCAGGTGATCAATGACACTGCCATGCTTTGCAAGGCCCCTGGCATCTTTCTCGGGCGGCCCCAGCCGCGGGCCCAAGGCGAGCACCCTGACGAGTTTGGCTTCCTGCTGGACCACGTGCAGACGGCCCGCTCCCTCAACCGCTCCTCCTTCACCTACTACCCCGACCCCAGCTTTGAGCCGCTCGGGCCCTCTGGCGTCCTGGATGTCAAGCCCGGTTCCCACGTGGTGCTGAAGGTGCCAGCAGGGCGGGGCGGGAGGGGGCGCACAGGTGGGGAGCCCTAGGACGACTGTGTCCTCCATCCTCAGGGCAAGAACCTGATCCCCGCCGCAGCCGGCAGCTCCCGCCTCAACTACACGGTGCTGATCGGAGGCCAGCCGTGCGCACTCACCGTCTCGGACACGCAACTCCTGTGCGACTCGCCCAGCCAGACGGGCCGGCAGCCTGTCATGGTGGGTGCAGGGTGGGGAGGCCACCAGGACAACTTGGGGTGGGCATGGGGGTCGGCTCATCTTGGGCCTGTCCCTGCAGGTGCTGGTGGGTGGCCTGGAGTTCTGGCTGGGCACCCTGCACATCACGGCCGAGCGAGCACTGACCCTGCCGGCCACGGTAGGGCTGGCGGCTGGGGGCGGGCTGTTGCTGCTGGCCATCACCGCTGTGCTAGTCGCCTACAAACGCAAGACTCAGGACGCAGACCGCACACTCAAGCGGCTCCAGCTACAGATGGACAACCTGGAGTCCCGCGTGGCCCTAGAATGCAAGGAAGGTGCCGGAAGCAGGGGATGCGGTGTCGGGCGTGGGAACTAGGGGCCTCCGTCCACCTGCTCGGCTCACTCCTCCTCTCCGCTCCGCCACAGCTTTTGCAGAGCTGCAGACGGACATCAACGAGCTGACGAACCACATGGACGGGGTGCAGATCCCTTTCCTGGACTACCGGACCTATGCCGTGCGCGTGCTCTTCCCGGGCATTGAAGCCCACCCGGTGCTCAAGGAGCTGGATGTGAGCGCCCGTCCCCAGCCTGCCCAGTCCCCGTTCCCCATAAGGCCACCCTCACCCTCCCAGACTCTCTGCTCCTTACAGACACCCCCCAATGTCGAGAAGGCTCTGCGCCTCTTTGGGCAGCTGCTGCACAGCCGCGCCTTCCTGCTGACCTTCATCCACACGCTGGAGGCCCAGAGCAGCTTCTCCATGCGTGACCGTGGCACTGTGGCCTCGCTCACCATGGTGGCCCTGCAGAGCCGGCTCGACTACGCCACGGGGCTGCTCAAGCAACTGCTGGCAGACCTCATAGAGAAAAACCTTGAGAGCAAGAACCACCCCAAGCTACTACTGCGCAGGTACCATGCCGCCCTGGCCCTGCCCCTGCCTGTGCTGGGTCGCGCCCCAACCCCTTCTGCCTTGCCAGGCCCCACCTTCTGTCCTGACTGGCCCCGCCCCCTGGCCTGGCCCCGCCCTTACCTCGCCCGGGGCCGAGTGCCCCTCTCCCGCCCCAGGACCGAGTCAGTGGCTGAGAAGATGCTTACCAACTGGTTCACATTCCTGCTGCACAAGTTTCTGAAGGTGCGCTTGGTGGGCCAGGCAGCAGAGGAGGTGACGGGGACCGGCTGGCTGTCAGGCAGGCAGCAAGCTGTGCGCCCGCTCCCCACTGCAGGAGTGCGCAGGGGAGCCGCTCTTCCTGCTGTACTGTGCCATCAAGCAGCAGATGGAAAAGGGCCCCATAGATGCCATCACCGGCGAGGCGCGCTACTCCCTGAGTGAGGACAAGCTCATCCGGCAGCAGATTGACTACAAGACGCTGGTGAGCATGGGGCCAAGTGGGCAGGAGGTGTGGGAATGGGGACAGGCCTCTCCCTACACTGACTCTGGAGTCTGCTATATCCACAGACCCTGCACTGTATGTGCCCGGAGAGTGAGGCTAGTGCCCAGGTCCCGGTGAAGGTTCTCAACTGCGACAGCATCACCCAGGCCAAGGACAAGCTGCTGGATGCTGTGTACAAGGGCATCCCGTACTCCCAGCGCCCCAAAGCTGAGGACATGGACCTGGGTGAGGCCCCCGCCCTGTCCTGGTTCCCCACCCACACCCTCCAAGGGGGCTCTGAGCACCTCTGGACACTTAATCTCACCTGGGTCCCACGCTCTCCACCTGAGTTCTGTTCTCTAAGAGGAGCGGGCCCAGGGTCTCGGGGGGACACCAGGCATGACTTAAAGGGCTGTCTGTGGCCCACAGAATGGCGCCAGGGCCGTATGGCCCGCATCATCCTACAGGATGAAGATGTCACTACCAAGATTGAGTGTGATTGGAAGAGAGTCAACTCGCTGGCTCACTACCAGGTGAGAAACTGGGGGCTCATTCACCCCCAGGGCCATCTGGGAGCCTGGGCCCTGCCCTGAGCCACGGCAGGACAGAGGAGCAGCGGCCCTGGCTCCTCTCTGACCTTGTTTCTGCACTCGCAAATCCTCCTCATGAGGCCTTGGTGCCATCCATGTGCATACTGAAGGGTCTGGGTGGGTGGTAGCCCCTTGGCTTCTTGGCTTCCTGCACTGCCCCCTCTCTGTTTCTGGGGCCTTCAGGTGACAGATGGTTCCTTGGTGGCACTGGTACCCAAACAAGTGTCTGCCTATAACATGGCCAACTCCTTCACTTTTACCCGCTCCCTCAGCCGCTACGGTAGGTGTCCTCAGCATGGTGGCCTCTGCTGGCCCTGGGCCCTTTGAGGCTACACAAGCTGTACTGGGAGCCCCCCTGTCCAAGCAACTGACTTGGCTCTGCAGGCCTTCCCAGCCCCTGCCATTGGGAGGTCTCCTGTTCTGTAGAGTCTAGAAAGAAGGTGGGCCGAGAGCAGATGGGTCCCCTGCAGGCTACTGAGCTCCTGGGAAAGAGTGGGGCAAGCGGTTGGGTGATAGCCAGTGGCCCCAGTGGCCTAAGCGTCACACCTGTGCTCTGCCCCAGAGAGCTTGCTCCGCACGGCCAGCAGCCCTGATAGCCTCCGCTCGCGGGCGCCCATGATCACACCTGATCAGGAGACGGGCACCAAACTGTGGCACCTGGTGAAGAACCATGACCACGCCGACCACCGAGAGGGGGATCGTGGCAGCAAGATGGTCTCAGAGATCTACCTGACGCGACTGCTGGCCACCAAGGTGTGGGCCTGCCCTGCACCAACTCGGCCTCTGCCTCCTAGCCCAGCCTCTGCCCTGAGGTTGGCCCGGCTGCCGGGGGAGGGGCCTTTGCTACAGAAGCTCCCAACCTGAGGTCAAGGTCGTGTCTGTCTCAGTGGGGCTGGCCCTGCAGGGAAGTCTTGCTCTTTGCTGAGCCTTTCTACTCCCATCTGTCCTGCTTTAGGGACATCCTGACCTGGCTCACTCATAGCCTGTGTCCTCTCTCCCTGTCCCCCCATAGGGCACGCTGCAGAAGTTTGTGGATGACCTCTTTGAAACTGTGTTCAGCACGGCCCACCGGGGCTCAGCTCTGCCCCTGGCCATCAAGTACATGTTCGACTTCCTGGACGAGCAGGCTGACCAGCGTCAGATCAGCGACCCCGACGTGCGCCATACCTGGAAGAGCAACTGGTACTGCCCCACGCCAGGCTGCTGCTGGCCCTTCTGGGGATGGGCGGGTGGAAGAGGCTCGGGGCTTTGCCAAGACCCAAGGCCCTTGGGGGCAGGGTGACTGGCACAGGCTGCAGTAGTCATCCAGGCAGAGAGGACAGTGGCCTGGCCTGGGGCTGACATAACTGGCGCTATCAAGCCAAGAGGCGCAATTCCGGAGGTGGACTCTGCCAGGCGTGTGGGCAGGTGGGAGGTTGGTAGTGAGACCAGCACTGGGATGTAGTCCTTTTCTGTCTGGGACCTGGCACAGGGGAGATATGCTGGTGGTTCGGCTCAGGGGGTCACAGTGGTGACAGTGGAAGCTGCAGAAGGGCTAGAGACCCACCAAGGACAGAAGGGCCATTAATCTTATTACTCACTGCCTAGAGTCACAAGACCATTCACCCTAAACATGTCACTCTAGCCACCTATGGACAAGACATGGGCTGGCCAGACAAGAGCAAGATGTGAAGGGAGCAGTGACGGGAGGGGGCCCACAGGGCTGACAAGGGAGCCTCCGGTGTGTGTCTGTCTATCCAGCCTGCCCCTGCGCTTCTGGGTGAACGTGATCAAGAACCCGCAATTCGTGTTCGACATCCACAAGAACAGCATCACGGATGCCTGCCTGTCCGTAGTGGCCCAGACCTTCATGGACTCCTGCTCCACGTCAGAGCACCGCCTGGGCAAGGACTCGCCCTCCAACAAGCTGCTCTATGCCAAGGACATCCCCAACTACAAGAGCTGGGTGGAAAGGTGGGCCCCATCTTGTGGTTGTGAAAGGAGACTGCTGGGGGTGACAGGAGGCAGGGGGCACCCTCCCTGAGCTGCCTGTCTGAGGCGGGACAGCTCTAGGAAAAAGGCCCGGAGGCTGGCCTGGTGGTGAGGGCAAGGGTTTTGGCTTCTGTGACATCTGACTAAGTGACCTACTGAACATCCCAACAGGTACTACCGAGACATAGCAAAGATGGCATCCATCAGTGACCAAGACATGGATGCCTACCTGGTGGAGCAGTCCCGCATCCATGCGAGTGACTTCAATGTCCTAAGCGCTCTCAGTGAGCTCTACTTCTACGTCACCAAGTACCACCAGGAGGTGCGTCCCGTTCCCTGCAGATCCACAGTTACTTGGCCCTGAGGGTGCATCCAGTGGCAAAGGCAAGGGGTTGGTGGGAGTCAGGGAGTGCCACAAGGAGGTGAAGGGGAGAGGGAAAATAGAGCTCATCTCTTGCATTGCTCAAGTCCCTCCCCTGACCAGGCCATGGGGCTAGCACAGGTGACACTCTCCATAGATGCTGGGATTTCAGGGACCCAGGAGAAAGAGAAGCCATTGGCTGGAGTACGAAGTTCCCACTGGGCAAAAGTTAAGGCGGTCAGGCAGGCTGGTTAGCTCAGTTGGTTAGAGCACAGCCTTGCAATACCAAAGTCATGGGTTGCGATCCCCAAACCAGCCAGCCACACAAAAAAAGAGTTAAGGGGCTGGCCTGCCGCAAGGGATGAGCTCGGGGGACTGGGTGGGGCCGGGGGTGGGGCCAGCCATTCCTAGGGCCTGCATCGTTTGTGACCGGAGATGTCAGCAGGCAGCTGGATATAAATGGAGATATACACTTGTGAGCCAGTTGATGGCCTTTAAAGCCCAGATGAAGGGGCTGACCCGTGGCTCACTTGGGAGAGTGCGGTGCTGATCACACCAAGGCTACAGGTTCGGATCCCATATAGGGATGGCCGGTTAGCTCACTTGGGAGAGCGTGGTGCTGACAACACCCAGTCAAGGGTTAACATCCCCTTACTGGTCATCTTTAAAAAAAAAAAAAAGCCCGGATGAGCTCAGGAAGGAGGCCTTGAGTGGATGTAGAGGGAGAAGTGGCCCAAGCGCTGAGCCCTGGGACTGCCAGTCAGAGGTCAGAGATGAGGCGGGAACCCTGCCACGTGTGACCACCTCTGTGAGGTGCTGCTGCTGCTCAAGGAAGATGACGCCACAGCACGCTCACTGGGTCTGGCAAAGGTCCTGGTGACCTGGACAAGAGAGGTTCGGGTGGGAAGAGGGGAGTCGGGGACAGCGAGTCTAGGCCACCATTGGGAGGGCCGCGCTCTAGCTCTGGAGAGGAGGCGGAGAACGCTGTGTAGTTGGAGGGGGACTTGGGGTGGAGAAACTGGGGGTTTGTTGAGAGGTGAGAGGTTTGAGCCGTGAGCTGCCGGGAGGAGGGGTGGGCTGGAGCGTGTGGGAGGGAAGAGCCCAGCTCCAGGGGACCGTCCTCCCCCAGATTCTTACCGCTCTGGACCGAGATGCCTCTTGTTGGAAGCATAAGTTGCGCCAGAAGCTGGAACAGATCATCAGCCTCATGTCCTCCAACAGCTAAGGGTGGCAGANCTATTTATTTAATTTAACTCCACCTCGGTCTCATCTGTAAATACGTGTCCCCCGTGGGATGTTGCCAACCTCACCCACGTTTCGCTCCTTGAGTTGCTCTGGGACCTGCCACCTGTCCTGACCCCTTTATGACATTGCCAGCCTTGGCCCAGCCTCTAGCACCTCACCCTTGCCATGGCCAGCCCCATCCATCCTGAGAAGGGAGCCTTGGTACCAGCAGCAGTTGGGGTGGGTGATGCATCTGAAGCTGCACTGACACTGTGGCTGTGCCAAGCTGGGCCACAGTGTCCCCCTCCAGACGTCTCGGGAGTCAGACTCTACATTCCCTCGCACTAAGAAGCACAAGACACCAGTTTGAGGAGAGCCCTTATCAGAAGAGCACAGGCCACAGTGTCCTTCTCTAAATGTCTCCGGAATCAGGTCCTACATTCCCTCGGGACCCTGCTCTCCCTGAGCACCCAGAGAGCCATAGCCAGGCTTGTGCCAGGGCCTGGCTGGGGCCTGACCTCAGCCTGGGCGCTCCGGAACTCTCCTCTCCCGGCTCTACTGCAAAACGTCTTCAGTGGTGTCTGCACTCGCCCTGAACCTCCTCGACCTCAGCTGCCCCATCCTGCGCCCGCCCTGAGGGGCCGAGGCGGCAGTGCCTTACTGCTTCATGTCTTCTGCCTCCTCTGAGGAATCTGGCCCCATCTCATGGTCCTGGACCCCCAAGTCTCTCCTCTTTTGTTGCATGAGCTTTTGTTTGTGTAATGTTTTTTCCTAATTAAACGCTGGGAAAGTGGAGTCAGTGTGGTGCTTTGTCTCTGGGGCCAGTGGGTAGACCCGCTGGATGCTGGAGTAGCTGAAATCCCATTATGAGAGAAAGGACAACTCATTGCACGGTTCCTGAGGATTTGAGGAGGTCCAGGCCATGGTCAATCCATCAGCAGCTCCTGGTGGCTCCACTTTCAAGAAATATTCAGAATCTGCTCCCTTCTCCCCACCTCCACTGCCCCCACACTGATCTAAGGCAACAGTCTCCCCGCTCCTGCCCTTGCACCATTCAGCCTACTCTCAGGATGGGAGGCAAAGAGATCCTGGTAAGATATAAGGTGGGTCATGTCCCTACCCTGTTCAAAACCCTCCAGTGGCTTCAACTGAACCCAAACTCCTCCAAATCAGGAAAGTCCTTGCTGTTCAGGTTGGAACTCCCATCGTGCTGCGCCTACTTATGTCTTACTTCCTACACCTGTTAAGCAATGCAGGTGGGGAGAACGTGGGGTGCAATTTTAAAGGCGGTGTCCAGGAACGCCTTGCTGAGGGGGTGACAGGTGAGCCAGGTGGAATGCTGGGGGAAGAGAGTTCCAGAGAGCAAAGAGCCAGTGCAAATGCCCTGAGGCAGGAGTGGGCCTGGCATGTTTCAGAAAAGGGTGAGGAGGCCAGTGTGGCTGGATCAGTGAGTGCAAGGGGAAGAGCGGGAGGGGATGAGGCCAGAGAGGAAATGGGCCAGCTAACACTGAACTTCATAGGCCACTCACTGTAAGGGCTTTGGCTTTGAGCTTGAGTGAGATGGGAGCCCATTGGAGGGCTTGGGACAGAGGAGCGTTGGGACCTGCTCAGGTGTACAAGCCGCCCAGCAGGTTCAGCAGTCCACCGCAGGTGGTGGTGGTGGTTACGTGACTGTTTGCCAAAACTCCTAGACCTAGGCACCTAAAAAGGGGTAAGTTTGCAGTACGTAAATCATGTCTCAATAAACCTGAGTTTAGGGCCGGCCCCGTGGCGCACTCGGGAGAGTGCGGCGCTGGGAGCGCAGCGACCGCTCCCGCAGCGGGTTCGGATCCTATATGGGACTGGCCGGTGCGCTCACTGGCTGAGCGCAGTGTGGGCGACACCACACCAAGGGTTGCGATCCCCTTAACGGTCACGAAAAAAAAGAAAAAGACAAATAAATAAATAAATAAATAAACCTGAGTTTAAAAACAACCAAATATGGGGCCGGCCCGTGGCTCACTCGGGAGAGTGTGGTGCTGATAACACCAAGGCCACGGGTTCGGATCCCATATAGGGATGGCCGGTTGCTCACTGGGTGAGCGTGGTGCTGACAACACCAAGTCAAGGGTTAAGATCCCCTTACCGGTCATCTTTAAAAAAACAACCAAATATGCAAGTAAACAAAAATGAGTAAAATAGTAAAGAAACACGTGTGATGTGGGATTGGAATTCTAGCTCAAAACAAAGGGAAGTCCCAGATGACACCTGTGCAGTTAGTCAGCCTAGACAGAACCAGCCCGACAGACAGAAGACAGAGGACAAGAGAGATAGCTTAATATATTAGCATTGTGAGATTACAGAAACTAAACCTGAGGAGAAAAAAACAAAGCAATTTTTAACCTCAAGGGGGAAAATTCCCCAGAAATGAATAGAATCTGATAGAACCATAATGGGAGAATGAGGAGGGGCAGCAGAAAGGACAGTGCTGTAAAGAGACGACTGCCACCTATCCCTCAGTTATGCATAAAAAATATGAATCAAAAAAAAAAAAAAAAGGAAAAGAGAGCAAGAGAGAGAGGGAGCTGTAGCTGTTATGGCTGCTGCAAGCAGTCAGGTGCGACTCTGCACCCTTCTCTTCACCATCATCATCATCGCGACCCCCAACCAGCACCACGACCGTCGAGAGCATCCCCCTCCCTCTAGGGCACAACGTTGGGGCTCTCCAAGCTCTGCAAAAGCACACCCTGTCCAGGCGAACGGACTAACGGGGACTGGACTCACCCTTCCACTGGAAACACCTCAAAACAACCGAACGACAGGTATGAGCACAGGTTTTGGAGACACCGGCCACCAGGCAGTGAGGGACAGCGGTCTCTGGGAGCCGGCAGACAAACGAGCTACGCCCTGCCATTTCCCCAGCTTCCTGCCTGGACACAGTTTCCTGGTGGACCCTGGCGGACGCCGGACTTTAGGAGATGGCTCGGAATCCGGGCGGCTGGAGGTCACAGGGCAGAGGACCAGAGAGGAGACACAGAGCCCTGGATCTCCGCAGAGGGCCCGGCTGCAGGGTTCAGCAGACCACCGACGAGCCCCAGCGCGGGAGGAAACTACCTGAGGCTGGGGAATGGAACCCCCAGCCTGGGATGAAAGGTGGCTCTGCCCAGCACGCAAGTGGGACACGGACCAGTGGCTGTCCCCACTCGCCAGGACAGAGAGCCTCCTCATTCGGGAGGCTTCGGGCAGGGCACTCAGAAGGAAGGGTCTTCTTGCCTCAGTGGTGTGGAAAAGGTAACCCTACACTGAGCTGCTCTGGTCCCACGCAGCACATCTGCAAAGTGAGACTCAGGAGGGTGAGACTGGTTCCAATACCTGCACAGCGTCCCACAGCACAGCTCGTGGCGTGTGTCTAGGAACAGAGTCACCCAGCACTGGAAGACAAGGCCCAACGTGCACATGTGACGTCCCATCAAACACTAGCAGGAACACAAAGCAGCAAAGACCAGCCTGTAAGGAGGACAGAGATCAGTCACTAGTAGGCACCCAGAGTGGAAAGGAAGAGGCCCGGCTGCCTTTCTTCTGAGGAAACACCGTCGTGCGTGGAGAAAAGCCGATGGCATTCACAGAAGAGCTACTAGGCTACATGAGTTTAGCACGGGTGCAGGACACATGTTTTACTCCTTCCCCCAAGCATTTTCGCCAGTTATCCCAGCACTTTTCTTCACTGATCTGAGACAAAACCATTAAGTCACAAAACTCCTAGTGTTTCTGGGTTGTTTTTCTCAGGCAAACCATTTTTATGAAATATTTTGGCAGGAAAGAGACCCAGTGGTGACATGGATATGGGAAACTGGCATTCTGGTGGGAGAGCACATTTTTTGGAGAGCAATTTTGTACTACAGATGGAGAGTCTTAAAAACAAAATAGCAAATATTTAATTCCATAATTTTTTTTTTTTTTTTTGTCTTTTTCTGTGTCCGGCAACGGATCGCAACCCTCAGTGTTGCCCCCGTACCGGACCGGGGACCGGCAACGGGATCGCAACCCTCGGTGTTGCTCCCGCGCCTCACTCAGCCAGTGAGCGGGAACC